TAAATAATAATTATATACTTGTTATATATATTTATTTAATTATATATAATTTTACAATATATAAATATATATTGCCATGGAGTTACTTGAATTGTCAGCAAACTCTGACGCAATACTTGAAATCGCGTTCGATTAATTAAACCAACGTGTAATTAAAACGGTATATCGACAACGCGCGATCTGACATCGCCGATGATACGATTTCACGATCACGTGCGTCAAATAAAATAAAATGTTTCTTTTTATCAATCGCGATTATTATTTCTTCCGATACTCTTTGGTACACAACGTATTGACGTCAAAACAATTACTGATACGCGCTTAATTATCGATGTATTATTGATAAAGATACATAAACAATAATTAAAACTTATTATATCTCTATATGTTTAAATTAGGTTATCGTGTAAGATCGAACACAGCGATAATTAGCGATATAGTATAAATGTGGTCAAAGACGTTTTGCGCGAAAACATTGGTACGCTTGATAAAGAAACGTAAATTATTGTATTCGCATTTATTCAAACAGAATTATTGTAAATTTTTATCGAGCAGCATCAAAACTTTGACGCGACTACCAAGAATTTGCAAACAAAAAAAACGTATTTCTATATAAAACTTCATTTTGCATATACTTTCAACAAACATCTCAACGCGCGCATCTTATTTCCGTGTAACGTAACGGAATAATATCATTCGCTAAGTGACGCAAATAACTAAATTACGCCACCATCATATTAGGTATGCGTTTAAAATGTATTAGCATAGATAGTCCGGCAACAGACGGTTTGTAAAAATCAAATATATCCTTGTACTAAAATCTTTGTAAAAGAAGATGAAAAAGTGGATGAGACGTGCTTTAAAAAAATATCGACAATAATAACGCGGATAATTTTTTTTTTTTTTTTTTTATCACGTTTTTTCGCAACATTTGTAAAACGCGAAACGTTCTCGAGGATGCGTGCAATAATCTCTCAAGATAATTAGTAAAAAAAACCATCATTATTACGTAATTTCAGATTAATATGATCGGTATTTCGAAATTTGATCTTTGTATACATAGAACCTGTATTTTTTTTTCGCTGAGAATTTGCGTAATCTCGTTTTGCACGCAACATAAAAGAGACGTGCGCGCGCTCGTTTTTTTTCACAAAGAGTAGGAAAATTACCTGCTATCGCGGCAAACGGGACACACACACAGCTATTGCGCGCGAGGTATTGGGAAAATGATGGAATGAGGTGGCACATCTCGCGATTCAACTAATCGTCTCCACGCATTCCGTCACGCGAGCTACTACGACTTCGTTCTTTCCACACGCGGAATTGTTTGACTTTATTATCGGTGATCAACTTTGGCGCGAGAAGCGCGCCGTAAAAAGAGAAGCACGTGTTTCTTTCGAGATAACATGCGGAATGGATTTTCGGTATCAAAGACCTTTCTTTCGTTTGAAGTCGCGCATCTTCACACGTACATACGAATCGTAACCCCCCCTTGGTTCGTACACGCGAATCCGAGATATCACCAGAAATATAAGGCCGATACGAGCCATTCGCAGAATGTTTGTGCGGAAACTAAGCGTGTACATATATATATATATATACATGTAACGAACTATACTTATAAATTTAGCAAATCTAGCATCCCGTATGATTTTAAGAATTGAGATTTTCAATTCAAAAAATACTTGTAAAAATTTATAAGTATAGTTCGTTACATGTATATATATATATATATGTACACGCTTAGTTTCCGCACAAACATTCTGCGAATGGCTCGTATCGGCCTTATATTTCTGTTGACAATTTCACGAGCGTTAAATCTTCCGAGATATCACGTTCGGCACGTACCGAGATTAGTGAAAAAACAATATCTTTAAACGGAACAAGGAAAAAAACAAAGAGTTTTATCGAGTTGAAGAAGCAGCAGTGACTTTTTGCTGATTTAAATGCATACGCTCTCTATATATAGAAATAAAAAGTAAAAAATAAAATAAATATAAATATTGTACATTTTGTGTGTGTGATACATATATACACACAATTCTACAATATGTTTATATTTATTGTATATTATTTATTTTATTATTGTATATTATTCGCGCTTCCCGCGTTTATTCTGGGATTTTAATAAACCATAAAAAAATTAAGTTGGAGCTTTATGGGACTTAATGACAGTTATTACGAACATGCGTTCTTCTCGTTCAGATGATTCGCGTTCAAACGCGTTCTTTTACGAGCTCTGATCTAATCCTCTTTGTCGGTACGAAGGTGTGTATCCGGAAGTGAATCAGAATACTTACAGATCATAGGAAAAAAAAAATAAGACAATGTAATAATAAGACAATGTAACTGTGAGGTGACTTAGCACTGTGTTAATCAGGCGTGTAATCATTCGCACATGTCTCGGCGTCTCGTTGATGTTATTTACAAGAGGAAAAAACGGACTGACTAATTAAAAGTGCTATTTTGCAATTAGGAATTACAATGCTTTTAGTTCTCTCTTGTGCGCGATGAGAAGACTTACACGATTCTTCGAAAAACTCGCACGTTCTAAAGTATCTCCGGACTCGGTTGGAGGTCGAGACATTGGTCTGGATGTCGATCCAACCGCGACAACCGCAAATAAACGTTTCTCGTGAAAATCTCACTATGCCACTATTTCGAACGCATTGGCTTTCATTCGACATATTCATAAAAACTTTATTATAAAATTTTATTATAAAATGTTATTTTATAATACAATTGTTTTTTTAAATTAATATTTACGATATCGATGACATGATTTTTCACGAACACACACTAAACATTAGCGTTTTTTTTTTTTTTTTTTTAATCTCTTATCGCAGTTGACTTCGCACTGTAGTAAAAAGAGCTTCAAAACCACGAATTTTACCACACACTATGATCCTGTAAAATTAAAAATGTTTAAAAGAGATATTCTCTCTCTTTTTATTATATTGATAAGATGTATAATCTCTTTATACAAGGTCTTCCTCTCTCTCTTCAGAGAAGTCGTAAGACTTTTTATTTCGGTGCAAAGTCGAGTCATTGTTACTATTTTCCCTTTATTACTCACAACCAAAAATAGCGACCGGTTAAGCCAACGAGAGACTTTGATCTCGTTGGAAGATCCGATCGCGCGCGATCGCGAGAATCTCTCCGTCTCGAACGTGCCAAAAGTAGCCATGTACCGTGCCTTTCCAGTGAGGTATACTGCCACGGCGATCTGCTGCACACGATACAGATGGCCGGCGTGTACAAGGACTCGAAGGAGTTCGTCGACATGAAAATGAAGCGGCCGCCGAACGAGACGCTGGCGGCGTTTCGTACCTTTATGAAGAGATTCAAGCAGAAACCTCCTAAGCCTGAAGTGGAGAAGTTCGTCAATGACACGTTCGAGCCGCCCGGCTACGAGTTCGAGGACTGGGATCCGGCCGATTGGAAGCCGAATCCAAAGTTCCTGGAGAAGATCGAGGACGACGAGCTGCGAAAGTTCGGCTCGGACCTCAATCACATATGGAAGATGCTGGGCAGAAAGATGAAGGACGACGTGAGAGACAACGAGGAGCTATACTCCATCATTTACGTGCCGAATCCGGTGATCGTACCGGGTGGCAGATTCCGCGAGTTCTACTACTGGGACTCGTACTGGATTATTAAAGGTCTGCTGCTGTCGGAGATGCGAAACACCGTGAAGGGTATGCTGAACAATTTCGTGTCGATCGTGGACAAGATCGGTTTCATACCGAACGGCGGTAGAGTCTATTACATGATGCGCTCGCATCCGCCGTTGTTGACGTCGATGGTGGAGGAGTATCTGAAGGATAGCCACGACTACGACTGGCTGAAAGAGAATCTCTGGCTGCTGGAGAAGGAATTCGACTTTTGGATGACTAACCGAACGGTGGAGATCGAGAAGGACGGAATAAACTACACACTCGCAAGATACTACGAAGAGTCGTCAGGTCCTCGACCGGAATCCTATAAGTGAGTATATCGACTTTCGTGTTTGTGCGGTAGCGAAAGAATGACGAAGCACACGTTAAGAACAGCTAGTGATTTATGAGTCGGGGAAAAACACATGATGTTCTTTTAAATGTCCAGATATCTTCTTCTTTTTTTTTTTTTTTTTTGCGTTCGTTGTTCTTGTGTTGAATTGTTAAATATATTTTTCCGAACGTATTTTGCTTAATGTATACACACAACTATAAAAACTTAAAAAAATAATTACATTGACAAAAAGCATCTCACTTTTTATCGATTTCGGTGTTTTAACGTCGCGATTCTGATTGATGATATCAGGGAGGACTATCTGACGGGCCAAAGTTTTCGAACTTTCGAAGAGAAAGACAATTATTACGCAGAATTGAAAACAGCGGCCGAGTCCGGATGGGATTTTTCCAGTCGATGGTTCGTGCTCGAGGGTACCAACAAGGGTAATTATCATTTATTGCTTTCCGCGCGATCTAGAAAATAGAACTTTCTCGTTTTTTGATTGATGAGCGACATTAGGCACAACAACGTACAATATTGACAAGAGACTTAGTACTGCTGCCTCTGATAAAAAAAAAAAAAAAAAAACCGGATAAAGACGCGCGATATTGTTGCCGAGGCAACAGAAAAATAACTCACGTCCAATTACAGGCTTGTGAAAAAAATCACTTGCGTCTATAAGAAAAAAAAAAAAAAAAACAGATTATTTATACGTGCGAAAAAAACTTTTTATGTAGCGTCATTTTGTTTGTTCGCATCCAAGTTTTTATTTTCATCTATCCGACGAGATGATCGTCTGAAGCTGATATATTCGATACCGCGGAGAACTGAAAATAATCATCAGCTTATCTTGTTTAGTCGCCATAATTTTTTTTTATGGATGGAAACTGTTATAAAGTTGCAATTATACAATATGGGCAACACACACCTACGCGCACAATTATCCCGCTACGTACTATTCCACATTAAACACCGTATCTTCAATGAGATCAGCGCGCGGCTCAAGGTCCCTCGTCTCGTTTCCTAAGTGAAAGCTCCCCCGGATCGTCCGGTAACTTTTTAAAATTCAATTTCGTATAATTCGCACGAGTTGCAAAATCACACATCGGGAATTCGGTTGAATTGCGTGCCATTTAAGATTCGAGTTGCCCCGCCTTGCTCGACGCACACCTTGAATTAGGAACTGTTTAGCATTTCAAAAATCGTTGTGCGAACTTTATATATTCAAAAAACAACACGCGACTCAAAAGCAAGAGCGAATGTAAGACCGAATCGTGAAGATTAAACAACGGGGTTGGGCGGGTTCCAGGTAATCTGACGAATCTCAAGACCAGATCGATAATCCCGGTCGATTTGAACACCATGGTATATCGAAACGCCGTGCTGCTGGCGAAGTACAATCGTCATTTGGGCAACGAGACAAAGGCCGCGTATTACACCGACATCGCCGAGAAATGGAAGGAGGCGATCAGAGCGGTGCTGTGGCACGAGGAGGTGGGCGCCTGGTTGGATTACGATATTTTGAACGACATCAAGAGAGATTACTTCTATCCGACCAATATCATCCCGCTCTGGGTGGACTGCTACGACACGTCGAAGAGATCGGAATACGTGTCGAAGGTGCTCAAGTATCTCGAGAAGAATCAGATTATGCTGAATCACGGCGGTATACCAACGACGCTGCAACACTCCGGTGAACAGTGGGACTATCCCAACGCCTGGCCGCCCCTCCAGTATTTCTTTATTATGTCGCTGGACAACACGGGCGATCCTTGGGCGCAGAGACTGGCCTACGAAATCAGCCAGAGATGGGTCCGCAGTAACTACAAGGCTTTTAACGAGACGCACAGCATGTACGAGAAGGTAAAGATTTCGCGATGAGAAAATGAAACAAAAATATCTTCTTCTCTCTCTGTATTCAACAATGTTGACAAATGAAATTTATATTTACTTCGAACGCTATGTTTTAAGTACAATAAAAAAATCGTTTTCCACGTTGATTGATTTAACTTGCGAACAATTTCGCGGTAGATCTCTCGGGGATAGTCTAAACCAGGGGAAAATGGGGAAATTTTTTTGATTGCAGTACGACGCGACCGTTTCGGGCGGGCACGGTACCGGAGGTGAGTACGAGGTGCAGCTCGGTTTCGGCTGGTCGAACGGAGTCGTTATGGATCTGCTGGATAAGTACGGTAACAAGTTGACCGCGGAGGATTACTTCTCGCCAGACTTGGTCGAGAACGCGGCACCACCGCAGGTCGTCTCGACGGCCGGTCAAATGCTGACCGGGCTTTTAGCTCTCGTCATATCGCTAGCGGCAGGATTTATAGGGTGAGGTGAGTGTATCAAAGATAGAGAAAGTACTTTCCGTCGCAATGGAATAAAAAATGCTTACATTTGAAATCTCGCTTATTATTGTCGCTCTTTTTTTTCTTTGTTCTAATAAATTCAACATTTAATAAATTCACATGTGTGTATTAAAAAAATTGTTTTTGTTTGCTTTCTGTTTCAGATATCCACGTGATCTAAGTCAACTAGGATAAAATATTCGCGAAAAGACACGTTAGAAAAAAAAAAAAAAAGAAAGATCGATTTACACAAGTAGCCATCAATCGATCTAAATAATACTGTCTCTTCCTCGTTCGTCCGGTTTGTGCGATTTAATGAATCGGACGATTGACGAAGAGGAATCGTGTAACGGGTAAAAAAAAAAAAGGGACCAAATAGAAGCAAGTGCGGGCACTGTTCTTCTTATGGATATTATTATACACTAATAGGACACATCGAGTGTGCGAGAGGGCCTCATATGGGTCTTTTCTTTTTTTTTTATTTTTTTTTATTTTATTTTTTTTTTATTCTTGCCACACGTGCTTCCAAAGAATTATTTTATAAGCACACAGAATATATTTTTTTAACGGTATTACGTCGCTTTTATATAAAGAAAAAGAGAACTTGTCAGAAGGGACACGAATCTTTTATTAGCCAGCGATACTCGCGATATATTGTCGATACTTATACTCAATGGCTTAGATTCTTTATAATTAACGTGCAATTTATCATTCCACTCCAACTTTATCGAGAAGATTGCGCTTGTAGTACGAGTGATATAGATTTTTTCCTCGAACCTTATCATTTTCAGAACTATATATATCGCTAGTATACGCCTAAAAGTAACATAACACTTGCCTTTTTAGTTGTGTAAAAAATAAGATTTAGATACGTTTATTTATATAAAAAAAAAAAAATAAAAACATCGTGGCCCTTCTCGCTGACGGATTACGTAAGACAGAATTTATTAATTACTATATATATAAACGATCATCTGTATTACTTAATCGTTTCATCAGATATGTGCTGTCACGAGGGATATTCTGTGATTATTTAACGAACTACTTCGCTGGTCGAATTTCGTTTCTAGTATCCTTCTACCGCAGGAATCTATAGATCTATAGGTCTGAAAAAAAACCTTGGAAATACCGCAGGTGATTTCTCTTGACTTTAGCCGCCTAAGCCGATTTACGTGTTATTTTATTTTGAGATTAGCCGTTAATTACTGTGCTAGTATTATTAGCTGTTAGATAAATTATTATGACGTATACATAGATATGTAACATGTATAACAAACGAAAAACATAATCGGCGTCTCTAGAGAGACGGTCCGTAAAAAAGGTTCCTCGAAAAGGAAGAGGACGAGAGAGCTGTCGGAAGGTGCGATGAGAAAAGGTTTAGAAAAACAAAACAAAACTTCGGCAAGACTAGTTTACGAATAAAACGAAGAAGAAAGATTCCGCTTTCTCTTTTCGCGAAAGAGCAGCGGACTCATCTAGTCAGTTTATTGTGTACGACGCTACCTTTATTTTTTTTTACGAACCGCAATGGCGCGATGGCGAAGGTTGAGAGCGTCGCGCGCTGAAATATTAGTCCTTCACAACCTTCGACGTTACTTTTTGAACGGTGCCTTAAATATAAAACACGAGAAGGAGCAGTTAGGACAAAACGTTTAAACGAGTTGAGGGAAACACAAGATGTGTATATGTAGCAGTGGACAATGGACAGACAGTCCGTTGACAGCGGTTGACACGTCCACACAACGATGACAGATAGTTTGCTTCCAATTCGCGAATTGCCGCTTGTATATTTTATAATCCTCCCTTGTTCGTTCGTGACAATTTATATTCCCTTTGTAGTAAATCTGTGAACATTCGTACGACACACAACACACACACACACACACACACACACACACACACACACACACACACACGTATACGTACTATATTTTTAAAGCGAAAAACGTTAGAGCTATGATCTCGCGAATTATTATTACTATTACTATTATTATTATTACTATTATTATTATTATATATCTACATATTCTTCGAATCTATTGAATAGATTCTAATGAACAAAAATAAAACATAAGAGAAATAGAAAAATATACACAAATATAAACAAACAACGTTACTCTGTTATATATTTTTTATTAAAAGACATTTTTTTGTGAAAAGATGAGGAGATGCGAAGGTTCAATTATGTGTGTATATGCAAAATACGCAGTTATATTTTTTTTTTGTTTTTTTACATATAAGTCTCTCGTACGGACTTACGCCGTATTACGGTGCGTTTGTACATAAATGGAATTTTGTAACTCTCGCTGTTTCTCGAGTTAACATTAACGAGCCCGCCGATTATTACTTTTTAGTTGCATAACATTTCAGCCCAACACAGAGACACTACGATAATACGTCGTACACCACATGTAGGTATACACAAACATTATCGTGTTTTTTATCTTTCTCGCAAAACCAAAATAGAGCATGAGTGTTTCAGCCGCAGTAGTTTGATAATCTTTTGAAGGCGATCACTTTTTATCAAATAAGTATTGTTCGTTTTGTTTTTTTGTTTTTTTTTTTTTATCTACTTTTATAGAGCGCGAACGCGCGCGAATGTGTTACGCACGGTTCCTTGCATCCAAGTCCACGTCCTTGTGTGCGACAACTTTTATAATAAAAATAAATAAATCGAATTATCCTATCCTGCGATATTACACGTAAACTTTTTATCCCGCAACGGTACAGTTGTTTCCCGATCTCCCGATATTGCATGTGACCATTTCTTAATCCTGTAAACACAATAATACTTCGGAGTATTACAAAGAGAAAGAGACTTACAGATATATATATTTGGAACTAGATTGGATAAACGCTCACCTCCCCTCTCGTTTTGTTCGGAAAGTTTGGTAAGTTTACGCCCGATTTACAACCGGATGTCTACACATCGACGATGAGTATTAATTGTAAAAACACAAATCATTTGGGCGAATTTATAAAGAAACAATAGTCTCTGTGCGAGTCTCAATGTCGCAAATCAAAAGTATAATAATTGTACGTAATGAATTTTAATTATTTGTTGAAAGAGAAAGACACTTTTATAAATAATTAAAAATAAAATTCAATAACAGTCGCACAGGTGTGTCTTTTTTTGACGTTTTGAGACAAGAACGTCATTGTTCATTTGCAAGGATGCCTCTTTCAATAGATGGCAGTCGGGAGTCTTTGTTACTGCAATAATTATTGCTCCGTCCCGCTGCGCGAGTGGAAGTTTTCACGCGCAGCAAGTCGTCTTCGATGGTGCTTAGCCTACCGTCAATAGTAATTACGCAGATAGCGGTCGAGTCTATGATGATTATACAGGGTGACACAAAAGACGCGTACACGGAAAGACGGAGAATTATTCTGAAGGTTTTGAAAGTTAATTCTGTCAAAAAGTAAGAAATTCAATCCAAGAAAAAGAAGCTACAAAACTGGAAAAAAAAAAAAAAAAAAAAAAACAAACGTCTACACAAAGTCAAAATTTTTCAAATGTCTCGTTTTTAGAAATTTTCGGGTAAGAAGTTGTGTGTGAAAATACGTATGTTACACACTGCGACTTGTAAAATGTTGTAATTATCTCAATTTGTTTACTTCATTTGGAACGGAAATCAATCGATCGTGTGAAATCAAAAATATATTTCACGGGCTAAAATTCTGTAGCGAGATCTCGAACGAAACAACACAGATTAATTGGCGCATCGAACGATGAGTGTATTTTCGAGATACTTGCATATCTCTCGCAGTTCCACGGAACACTGACACGCTACATCACGACGTTATCGCGATGAGGTGTGATGAGACTACTAGCCGTAATCGTCAATATATGTTCTCGTGAAGGTACCGATACAATTACCAGCGTGTGCACGTGGTGCGGTGCAGAGAGAAAGAGGAGGAAACGAATGGCCGCCAGAGCGAACATATACACGTGATGTAGGCGTGATTGCGTTTGCCATTCAGGCTTTTTGCGCAAATTCCCGCCGACATTAGATCGCGCTCAAGGACCGATTCGTGCATCGGTGCAAACGCGGCAATTATATATATAGCATTGATAAAACCGCACAGAGTAAAACCAATTGCGTTTTTGGACGCAGGATTGATTGACACAATAACGAATTACTTAAAAACTTTTGCGAGAATGCGCCTGGTCTGATGATGAAACACACAAGATACGCGCAAGAAAACACTTTGAAAACATGTGACAGCAATTGAAAAGTAGCGCTTGAAGATTGCGATTTTTGTTGAGGGAAATCAGTTTTTGCGTGTTAACCAAGATGTAATTCAATTTTCTCGGAAAAAAAAAAAACAAATTGACAGTTGAAATTCAAACAAAATACCGCGATAACGCGTTGTCACTTTGCACACACGATATTGCGCGATAAATGCACATTGTGATAACTGCGGTAATGCGGAATTCTTAAAGATCTGTCGAACACACACTTATCTGTTTAAGCGAACTGATTGCAATTTTTCACGAAGATAAAATGCGGTATTTCCAATGTACGTAGTCGTTAAAACAATTAGTGGTAAAATCCACAACTGCGGAATTTTACAAAAAGATAAGCGCACACGATAGACATAAACCTAAGAAATGCGAATTCTCTCTTTAAATTTCTATAAATCTTGTATGATTCACGCAATCCATATCGATTATTGTTTTCTTGTTGTTTACGCAGGATGGTCGTGTACAAGAGGCGGCATTATTACGCGCCCGGTCCGTCGACATTGCCGAACAAGAGGAAAGGAGGATTGTCGAGCGGCAGCAACCTGTACCGGAAGCGGATCGCATACACCGAGCTGAAGGATATGAACAACGATTGATGACCGCTCATGTTTTAGACCGTATATCGATTTCTTACATGACTAGAGTGAAGGAAGAGTGCGCGCATACACGTGTATATAGGAGACGGGAAATGGAGCGACCGACGAAAGACGGAGGAGGAAGCGCCGAGGATGAAGTTGGCAATGAGATCACCGGCGTTATGAGACACGCCAGCGTGGAGAGAATTAAACGATACGCCCAACGATAGTGTTCTATTGTATAGAAACGAGCTGGAACGAGAAACTGATTGGAATAGAACGTGGGCGGTTCGCCGAAAGAGAACACACACAAGTAGTGTGTTCGACGGTGAAACTACGTGACACATTAGTTCTGGGCGAGGTCTTCCACATCAGGCTGCGAGATCACGCCAGCGACCGGAATGACAAACGTGCAGGATCCAGAAGACATGACCAAAGTTCGAGAGTCGCTTTCCGTCTAATGGCTCTCTTATTGCACTCAGATACAAAGCAAGACGAGGCAGAGAAAGAAAGAAAGAAATAGAGAAGCAAGAATAGATGTACCATTTAGTGTAAAAAATCAGAGTCCGAATGTGTGTGTGTGTTTTTTTTTCTTGTGTATGTGAGACGCGAGCTTTTAAAATACGGCCCATCCCGGCGGTAAGCAGGATTTTCGTTTTGTGATTTAGCGAGGTATCGAACGGTGAGAAAGGTGGTGGAAATTTTTGTAAATTTATTCAAACAACCGCGCGAAAACGTCAAGGGATTTAAGCGGGATTTAAGCAGGATCTCTTTGAATATGAATTGGAACGAAAAAGAACTCTCTTAGATATCAGCGATACGTTAACTTCGATTGTTTCTAAGATGATGTTTAAACGCGCGAAATCAAGATAAAACGAACGACCAATTCAAACGTAAAGCTAACCTCCACGGTGCCATTCAAAATATTATATATAAATATTGTACATATATACGGAAATTCTGCACAATTGTCAGATCCAGTAACTTTTGTCACAACGAGAAAGAAAAAGAGTGAGAGAGAGAGAGAGAGAGAAAGCGCGCGCATGCGGGGCTTTGCGAGTAAGTACGACGCTTATATAAATTACTCGCGATTTTATAACGAAGGACGGGACGATTGATGTGAAATACAAATAAAAACCAATAGGCAATGAACTCTGTTATTTGCAAACATGAACGATTAATCGAATGCATGCGAAAATGCAAGATTAACGCGTGTATGAATGTGATTAAATATTAATGTTTATAGATGAAGTTACGTGTGGAAGATATCGTGTGAATTATAATTATAAATTATATATATATGTATATTTAGATGAATGTAGATAGAGCGAATCACTGACGACACCAGAGATAGATCATTGAGGATAATGTTGTATTTTTGCTGATATTTTTATAAAACCGAGCGAGAACGAGCGTTTTTACTCCTTCCCTCCCTCGCGTTATTTAGCGACCAATTTTGCGGGCGTTCGCTGTACGCTGAGTAAAAAATCGAAACATACATGTGCCGTGTACGACAGTTTGTTTATTTTTTTAATCATCCGTGATACGAAAACGACGCGGTGTGTGCAAGAGGTCGAAAGTTCCTTTGCCAATCTCTCGGTAGAGCTCTTTCGCGCGCTCAACTAGTTTTATTCTATTTAAAAAGTTGATTGATTTTACGGTATTTATATTTTGTTGTTTTTTCTTCTTTTTTTTTTTTTTTTTAAGTGTGCAGTAAGGCTTCGTAGAATTATTCTAGAGCTGTCAGAGAAGAGTTTGTTAAGCGCGAGTGTAAAATTTAATTGCGTCTGTACGTGTAACTTTGCTCTCTCGTTACATAGTTTTTTTTTCTTTTTTTGTTTTTTAAGCGAGCGCGACAAACAATCGTCGTAATCTTTCGCGATATAGAGCGCTTTTCGATGACGTCGTAGATATCGGTCGAGTTGTTGTGTATAGATGTGCGTGTTAGATAATAAACAAAAAGAAACAAATCTTATTTCTGGCCAGCGTGTGATACGAGAGTACCTGGTTTATTTACGACGTACTCGAAGAAAGTCTCCGAACACGCATTGTACATATATACATACACGAAACTTGTGAGTTTAAGAACGATTCGAGAATTTTGCGACCTAAATAATAATATTGCAAATAACTATTTATACATAACAATAATAATTAATAACAACAACAACAATATATAGAAATAATACGTGGGGTAAAAATATATCTGACTGTAGTGTTGTAAGCGAAAGATTTATAGCACATATACAAAAAATAATTCTTTCCTACTTTCTTTGGTGTATTCTTTTTATGTTGTATATATACAAAGAATGTCAATAAATATCTATTTTATCTGTATTATTTTTTTGCATATGAACTTTTTGGACGTGGAGTCTTTTTTTATTCGTCGTAAATAAATTGCCGTACACGACGCACTCGGATGTCCGGGAATGAGGTGAAGTGAATTATTTAACATTTTTGGGCGAGAATCACAAAACGAACGAGAATCTCGACTCACGCAATCGAGAGCGGCGACTTTGTTGTAGAGAAATCGCCGAGTTTGATCGTAAATAGAATATTCTGGCGCCATGCTTGCTATGATCCTTGCTCTTGTTGCCGTCTGCTTATTTTTAGACCGTCTCAGTTGCGCATACGTGTGTACATACATACATACGTATACGGATCGTGGCACGTGGTGCATCAGAAGAAGAGTGAGCATGCGAATCTAGAAACGATGTTGCGCAATAATCAATCGGTTGATTGGAAAAACGGTCCTACCGAATCGTTCGAAGAAACGTAAGCTTTAGGTTTCATCTTAGTATTATTAGTGCGTATCTCTTCCTCCTAGATAATTTATTTAATCCAGCAACTCTCGATTAAATCCTCGCGACGAGAATGAAAGAAAAAAAAAAGACAATTGTTATTAGTAATACACATAGAACATTCAATTTGTTTTTGAACGTAGCAAATGTCTTTGGTCACAAGTGCACACGTAGTTTTATATAGTTTTTTTTTAATTATACGGAATCAATTGAAATATTCTTGATACTCTAACTGCGGCGCAGTCTGTTGCATCGAGTCGTTTTACAGTTTGATCTTGAAATGAAATTGTTTGCGTTTGTAAGTAACGATGCGAATGTAAAACAATGATAATAAACGTATTAGCACACGCGAAGGATTATACACATATACTAATATCGAAGTAAACTCATCTAAAAATTTTTATTGTATAATGTGTATTATATCTAATAATATTCTCTTTGGAAGAAGAGTGAATTATAATCCGCAAGGAAGTGCGCATTTTAAAATTGCTTAATTGTATGAGTAATTTATCTTGTGCTTCTGTGAAGTGTGCAAGAAATATCTCGAACGCTTGCTTATCAAATTCGACGAAAACTCGAGAGAACGAGCGAGCGCTATTGTTTTTCTTACGATCGTTTACATAGAAACTATAACACGAAACTGATACGTGATGCCATAAAGAGTGTAGCGCGTATGTAATAAAAAGCTTTATCGGTATGTGTAATAAACATAGCGATTAGATATGCATGTTGAAAGATTAATTTATGAAATAATTGCGAGGTGAGAGAATTAATCGGTGTTTGTACGACAAAGACCAAGTTGCAAGTAAATGATATCTCATCTTAGATATACGCCACTTCGAAGAAAGCGTTTCTATTTGTAATGTACATAAAAAAAAAAAAAAAACACATGCGTGCGACGAAATTCGCATTACGGTCGAAAAAAAAAAATTAAAAGTGATAATATTAAATTCAATTATTCCTATTAAATAAATTTTTCTTCACTTGCTGATATTGTTTTCTAATTGATGCGCGTTACTAGAGTTTTATAGGCTTTTTTATATCAAATACACGCCAATTTTTATCTGGCAAAGCAAATAAATTTTTATCAAACGTATTTCATAAGATACAGAGAGAGAGAGAGAGAGAGAGAGAGAGAGAGAGAAAAAAATGATTACAGATTGATGACGTGTAAGAATGTTCACATTTTGAAAATGTAAAAATGCGAATTTTTCAGTCGCACTCTCTTTAAATAATAAATAAGCGATGATACAACTAGAAACTAACGCAGATTGTAGAATATTTATGTATTATATGTACACTTGAAAAATAATTGTGATACTTGGAAATAAGCAGGTACGTTTCCGTTTGATCTACTCCTTGCATTCAGATTTTCTTCTTTCTATCCGCGTAGCGGCGAAGTCCCGATTCAGTTGTATCTCTAAAAACTCTCGACTGGTGATAGAAAATATTTTTTTTTTATTATTGTTAAGTTACAAACGCACAAAGGAGATCACACATTGCTCCGCAATTCTTTGTGATCATCTCGATAGAAGAAAAGAGGAGACAAAAGTATATATATATAAAATATACGTATATACGTTAATGTGTAAATACACATAATAATATATATTTATGTATTATTACACATATTTTCTATATTTGTTTCGTATTCAGTGCCTTTTCAACTAACGCTATTTGTTACTTGGTATAAAACTTACAAATTTAGTACTTGTTTTTTTTTCTCAATGTGTTCCGTACCCATCTGTACGGACGTTCGACGGTAATCTGTCGCAAAGAGGTAAGTGACATTACACAACATTAACGCTGTGGTTAAATAAATAATAACACGCACGAAATATATTGTAGGTGATTATTTTGTATTTGTACACAATACTATATAACAACAAGGAGGAAAATACTGAATGAGAAACAGATGCCTTATTTGGTGTATCACACGGGCGCAAGCCAGAAAAACCATATCCGTAATAGAGCATCTATTCTGTTTGACTATATAATTTAATACTCGTTGCTACAGCGCAAGAAAAAAAAAACCTACACGTATTTCTTGTTTTTTGTTTTTTTTTTTTGTTTTTTCCACGGCCCATCCACAACTGAGCAGCTATTATGTAACTTCTCGATTCCACGCGTAATGACACTTTTATCGATTTTCCTGGATTTCTTTTTCTTACAAAAAAGAAAGAAATAAACGACGCAAATCCATGTTATTATTCCGATCGGGAATTGATTCCGAAAAGTTACACAATAAACCATCTTGTGTATTCTCATACATCGTTCACAAACATATACATTACACAGGCATATAAGTTGTACACACAAATAATAAGTGGAATATATTACGAGCTAGTTTATGTCGTCGTACAATACTTGAATTTTGTAGATTAGATCTAAATCTAATCTACTTGAATTTTACACTCACAATGAGCATATTATGTTATCGTACTTTTTGCGCATGTTCAGACACTTGTGTGAGTCAGAGTAAATAAATTAATATATATGGAAGGAATCGCGCGGTTTAATTAAATAATATTAACAGTACTGGCTCTCTTCGTTTTTTTTTTTTTTTTTTTGTGCGAGTTTTCATGGGATTTCAATTTTTCTTTTCGCAAATACAAGTCATAGAAAAATATATGGATTATATTATTGAAGAGAGTTTCACTTCGATAATATCTGCCTGGTAAAAAGACTTTCATTTAAATTTATACTTTCATAATGATCACTTGTGCACATTATTGTTCGAATTATTTTTCTATTATTTAAGAACACTCGTCTTTTCTCCTTCTTTCTTTTTACACTCAGAAAGAAAGAATACCCTTCTATCCTTAGACTTTCTTATTACTTATAAAATTCAAAGCTTCATATCGAATTGTCAAATCGAACTTGGTAAAAACTTCCAATGCGAATACTACGAGAAAGCTATATATTAAGTTTTTAGTCTTAATCATTATATGTTATTTTAAATATTATGTGTCATACATCTATATCTCATAACGTATATCATAAATTTAATATGTCCGATCTTGAATATAGAAGTAAAAGGACCGATTTTTTTCGTGTATATATAAAATATAGACTAAAAAAAAAACACACACTATGTCATAATTTTTGAAGACAACTTCTGTCACGTGAAAAAAAAAAAAAAAAAACACCGGGTTTAGTTGCGGTCGCACACACACACACATTTTGCGAACTTTCAAAATACACATATATACGTTTCAACTATAAAAATTCTTCGATATCTGAAAGAATGTTTTATACTTTCTAAATTTCTCTTAATTAAACAAACTCGGATAAAATATATATATATGAAAAAATCGTTAGGAAAACGGAAACGAATTCTTACATCTTCTGTGGGTATTGCAATGATAAAGAAAAGATCGACGAACTACTCAAACCTTCTGAAAACAAACTATATAGGCAATAATATGGAAGATATTATTTTTATATAAAGTATGCAATTTTCAACTTAACAAATATTAATACTAACAAAAATGCCTACAAAAGCTAACGATTGTATACACCTACCATAGATAAAAAGTATTTATCAGTAGTGTGAGCAACATTTGATCAATAAACAAATTAAAATCTAATTCATAATAATCGTCTAATTTGACTACGAGAACGAAGAAAAATCAAGGGACAAAAAAAAATTATGCGTAGAATCAACACGCTTTGGTGCATAGAGATATACAAATCTCCACCTGTTGGTAATCGCGTTTCCGGTTACAAACAACGACGATGACGGTTCTGTTTCTGCGTTATTCGTATATAAATAGCCGCCTGCTTTCACGTAATATATGTATAAACTCTAGAATAAATATCTATCACATAAGGCTGGTCTATAATATATGTAGCTTTTATGGTTTTCATAGTAATGACCTACGCACGCGTCACAATAAGTACGTTCAGGAAGCACAATGGTTGTACGACACAAGTAGATGAATGGTTTTTTTGTTTTTGTTAACCCTTTCATTTGCGCTGTAGGCGCTTTAAAAGTTTGTTCAGAATATGTTGTTGACGCCGAAACGAGGCTAAAAGCGCCTATAGTGTTTTAGTGTTTATTATTGTAGTAGTCACCTATATATTCTTTAACGCAATGTAATTGCGGTGTTTCGACAACTTTTACACTGTCTACAGAACTTTTTTATACTTTGCGCGTCAGCGAAAAGTTCCGCCGAGTTCTCGTCACGCGCGTTCCGTATTAGATTTTGCCGCAGCGAAAGGGTTAAAGCCGAAACCTAGAAAGAACACGTTTCTCAGCCATGTTCTACAAGCGGACACGTAACAAATTTCTGTCAGCTTTCTTACACGAATAAACGCGTTTAAAAAATCACGTTGTTAACATGGTATGTATAACAAGCATTGCGTTTTCTGAAAGCAACCGATGTGCGCGGCATGCGTTTTGTAATAATACTCGATTATAATAGAAGAACCTTAGGCTTAATATTTACACTTCATATCGTTTGTGCTAATTATCGACTTAACGAGAGTCGCGTCAATAATAAATACGATGACGGTACAAGTGTTTTGCTATCGTTCATGTTGTACTTACGCCGTGAACTCGTTGATCCGTCAGTAGATATACACAATATTATCGAATACATGGAGTGTACTTTTCTCGGATCAACGTCCACCGATAGGTCACTTTGACAGATTTCTGCACAAACAACTCGCAGGTATCTTTATCTCGTGGTAAAAACCAGTCGTATTCAGGGGAATACTCACTTTCTCTTGGCGATTAGGTGAACTATTCGCTAAATCATCAATCGTGACAGTGTTACGTACGAATTATAAGTCCATTTACTCACTCTTCTCGGCTTGCGTTTCCGTTTTAAACCGCGCTATCAACATTAGTATTTCGCTCGTGGTTTGTATAACGCAAGAGAGGATCGTCGGCGTTTATCGTTCCCATTTCTTCTTCATGATTATTAACAGAGTTGCTCGCGGCTTCTTCTGTAACGAATAACCATACGAGATAAATATCAAAAGTCTTTGCAGATCTTTCTCAAATATTAAGAAGCACTTACCAGGTATGCATAACTGCAGCTGATCGTTGCTAGGATTAGCGCTGTCACCCGTTCCGCTGTCCTTGCTGTGTTGCGAGCTCGTGTCCAGATACAACCGCTCTTGTGTATTGTCCGGTACGGCGAGTATGACGGTCGTCGCTGGTTGCACGAGAGACACGTCTTGCGCGGAATTCAGACGACGTCTGGTTTTGTAGATCACGATCACCCAGATCACAGAAGTTATAATGGCGCAGCACACTACCGATATTATTATTACGCCCAAAATCTCGGCGTCATTCAACGCGGCATTTGGAGCTGAACAAAAGTTATATTGGTGTTAAATCGAGAAGAGAATTCTATTGTGTGCCCGTAGGGGAAGAAAATCGGGCAAAGTGAAGATAGCGTTGCGTGCGAGATTGGCGGGACATTCGCTGACAGTCAATGGCTGTAAAAGGGGGACTTTTTGGTAGACGAGATGCGCGACACGGATTATTAATAACTTTAATCACCTGGATTGACTGTAAGATGAGACGAGCCGACGACGGTGCCCAAAGAGTTGCTCATCTCGCACTCGTAGTTCCCGGCGTCGGTAAAAATCGCGTTGACAATAATCAACAACTGGTTGTCCGCTGTGAAGAAGTGGCGATTCGTTAGCTGCAACGGGTTGCCATTTTTTCGCCACGACAATTTCGGCCGTGGCGTACCATTTGCCATGCACTCCAACACGATCGAGCCGCCCACTGTTATCTCCTTATTTTTCATTGGCTTCACGAAATATGGAGTTTCTACAAATGGGATTTCTAGATATTTTATATAAATATACATATACAAATATGTAAATAAAAATATGTGTATTTATAAGCCCAGTTTGTATTCGTAAAAAGATTTCTCACCTAATATCGTAAGAGTTGCGTTCGCGACAATACTACCAGCCAGATTTTGTGCGATGCACGAATAAACACCGCTGTCTCTCGTTTTCACATTTATTATAAACAACACGTCGTCCGTAGGCATCATGTGCATTCGTCTTTCCCGCGCGGCTGGAAAGTCGACCTTTCCGCCGTCCTTTTGCCAGGCGATTTGCGGCGACGGTTGTCCCTCGGCAGCGCATTCCAAACGAGCGGTACTTCCAACGTGCGCTTTTATATCGTGCGGAATTTTAGAAAACGTCGGATAAACTATACAAAAAAAAATAAATAAATAAATAAATTGCTTAACTTTTACAATTGAAAGTAATTATCTTTTATATTATTTTCTAAATACATTTTTTTTAAATTAAAATACATATTATTGTCAAACATTACCTGACACGACCAATTTGGCTTTTCCCGAATACGTAGTTCCGAAAGTGTTTGTTACCATGCACTGATATTTGCCAGCGTTAGCGTGAGTTACGTTAACAAGATACAAAAAAGAAGTCGCTTCGGTTACTCCACTCTCGGAAGACGAATTGGTCTCCGTACTGAATTGCGCAGATTTTAACTCCACATTGTCGTGTTTCCAGGTGAAAGAAAGCGGCGCGTCGGAGGTACTGGTTGCGCGGCAAATCAGCGTCACGTTGCCACCCTTAATGCTCATTTGACCTATGGGTTCTTCAATGATTCGTGGTTTTGGAAATTCATCTGCGTGCGTGAAAAATAAATTTACGTTAAAATCTAAGAGATATAAAAAATGGCACACAGAACGAAAAAAAAGTGCTCTAACAGATGAGTTTAAATATCACGTGTGCGTGTGTATTATTTTTTTTAACAATAAAATATATTCACCACAAGTGAAGTTTGCATGATGTAAAATGTTTAATGGCATCTCTTGCAGCCAATGGGGATAACCGCAGTACATTTTAGCTTCCCTGTAATGATGTTTTTGCAACCACATTCCCAGCCATTTGAGTCCGCAATCGCAAAGCAAAGATTCTGCACAAACAAAATGAAATCAATCAAAATTAAAAAGTTCTGAATATCTGTATTTGATTGCATTACAGACGCGATGTGTTAAACGTTGAACTTACGGGTATGCATTTTTAGTGTCTCCAAACTAGTCATTGGAAGGAGAGCATTTTCTTGAATGGACGTAATATTATTACCAATTAAATCGAGATCGGTTACGTGACTTAGGCCGATGAAAGCATTCTGATTTATAGACTTGATATCGTTGTTTGCCAGGTTCAGCTTCCACAACTGACCGAGTGCGGCAAACGAGCGACCAATGTCCTCCACCATGTAAGATATCATGTTGAAATTAAGTTCCCTTTAAATTTAAACACAATTGTGTAATATGGCAATCGTAAACTATCGCAAAAATTTTAAGTTAAAAACAAAAATATGCGTACAAAACGCGAAGATTTGTTGTATGATTGAACGCTCCTTCCGCAATGTGCGTTATCTGATTATGACTCAGTTTGAGTTTTTCCAGTCTTGAAAGATATTCGAACGCATCTCGGTCTATGGAAGTTAATGCATTATGCGACAGGTCTCTAAAATAAAAAAAAAATATATACACGTAAAGGTAACACTTTAAGACAAATGAATTATTAATGAATTATTATAAATTATTTATATTGTGACTATAAATTCATTACTGACATCTCTGTTATTTTTAAGCATTGTTCCCATGCTTGAAGTTCGATCGAAGAGATCTGATTGTGCGATAAGGTAAGTGTTTGCAAAGAGGTTAATCCGAATAAACCACCTTTTCTTATAGAAGTCAACATATTAAAGTCAAGATGTAACATTATCAAATTGTTAAGCGGCCAAAAAGCACCATCGTCTAACATTTCAATTTTGTTTCTTTTCAAATGTAATTCTCTCAACTTGGTTAAATGTTTTAAACTTAATCCGTGAATTTGTTGTAGATTATTTCTATTCACTTCTCTGCAAAGTAAGCGTTTTAGATTATTCACTGTACAAAGAGACTGTTTAAAATAAATTTTAAATAAATTCTGATAATAATCAATAATTTTTAATTTACAATTATACCAAAACACTTACAACACTCTTAATTCCTTTAAACCTGAAAAAAGGTCTTTTAGCTGTGTCAAATGGTTCTTGTTTAAACGAAGTTCTTCCAGGGAAGTTAAATTATCCAAACTTCCGTTTTCAATTATACTTATCTGATTCATGTTTAAATTTCTGCAAATATAAAATATTGCGTGACAATATATAATAAATAAGATTTTTTAAATAAAAACATATATACATACAAATGTGTAAGTTGATTAGGAGTGAGGAAAGATCCTTTTTGAAGGACACTTATTTTATTTCCACTGAGATCCAGATACTGAAGCTGTTGCAAAGTGAGCAATGCAGTTCCATTTATACTGGTAATTAAGTTATGAGATCTACAAACAATTGCAGTATTGATAATTATTGTTTCATTATATATATATCGAAAGTTAATATTAAATCATTTTTATCAGATTTTATTAAAAGAAAACACTTTCACAATAAATACTTACAGCGTAAGATGAGTAATATTCTTAACAAATACAAGATCTGGCACTTTTGTTAATTGGTTTTTATTCACTTTAAGCTCACGTAATTGTGTTACTTCCGACAAGGCAATAGTAAAATTATCTCCAAGTTTATTAACGCTTACGTCTCTAAAATTATGAATAAATCACAAATAAGATAACTTATTGTTTCAGTACATCAATAAATAAATATTATTTAAAAAATAAATCTGCTTACAATTTTTTGAGTTCTGGTACATGAAGCAATGAGTCAAATTCCAAGTTAGCAATATTGTTATTTTTTAATTCTCTGAAAAATATATAAAAAGAAGCAAATTGTATTCATTAATTGTAAAACATTTGAAAAAAACTTTATCTTTTATTGTTTCTGTATAACAGAAGTTATGAAAGAGACTAACATGGTACATCTGTATTTCAGAGTGTTTCTATTTCAGATTTGTTTTCTATTAAACATTAAGAAATTGTTTTAATTTGTAAACAAACTTTGTAAAAATAATTTTAATTTGTAAATTGTTTCACACAAGTCTCAATTATTTGGATGTGTATTGTATGAAATCAGCATCCTCGGGCTACCTCTCTACAACTCTTAATACCTTAAATAGCATAGTCATGAGTATTCTCTACTTAGATTCTTGCTATCCTTGACTCTGAACATCAGAGGGACTTTACAATGATCAGCCATCATCACATATAGCACCCTATATGGAAACCTGACTATGTATCTGTAGAAGTCAGTTTCATCAATCTGACCATTTAGTGCAACGAAGAAACAAGCGACCCACATGCAGCCATAACAAGCAATATAACTCCCCTTGATTCGACTTCCAAACAAATATAGAGTAATAGCAGTTATCATCCAATAAATAATAAATTGCTGCATAATAGTAGTTTCCTTTCTCCTCAATTTTTATTTGAAATAAATTATAAACATATCTTTTTTTTTTTTTAATTAAAGAAACACAATCATATATAGAAGTTTTTAATAAAAAACAATTTTATTACTGTAAAATAAAAAATATAAACATGTTTAATATAAAAATTAATAAATTTAAATATGTTTAAGTATACTTTTATATATATTTATTACTTTTTTTATTAGTCTTTTTTAAATTACCGTTGTAATAATTTATGACAAAGCTTAGTCATTTTATTATTTAATTATGAAATGGTTTATATAAAAAACCATTTCATAATTCTTCTCTAAATAAAAACCTTCATTTATTTTATTTCTACAAAATATATGTGCAAATACGTATCTTGAAATAAAACAAAAATAAATTATATAACTCTTAGATAAAATTAGTCTATAATATCTATGTCATTAGTGATTTTATATCTGTTATGAATTGCCTTTCTCTATCTTATCTATCTCTTGGTTCACTTTACACATAAAACAGACCAGCTCCAATAATCTTTGTGATTCAAAACAAATCATACGTGAATCATTTATGATTACTGTACTTGTACAAACTCTTACATCTCTCTTTTTTTTTATTTTATTAATAACAAAACTATAAACATTCCACAACTCTCCAAACTACACACTTCGCTAAATGTCATTGTGCAATGTGTCAAAATTAAAAAATAAATAAATAAACATCAATCATAAATTTAAATATCTATCGCACCATATACCTAAATAAATACTGTTGCTTTCCCTCCCCTTTCCTTCATTATACATAAACAATCGACGATTGTTTACTTACAGGACCTCCATCCACGGAGGCAAACCACTAGGCGCCTCGATAAGCCGAAGATCGTTGCAGGCGACCAAATTTCCTAGACAAGCGCATTCGACCGGGCAGCTATCCTTATTAAAATCGCTCGCTGCCTTCGCGACCCACGACGATGACGACAACGACGACGCGAGCAGCAGACACGCGACGAGCGGGATCACGACGTCGCGCTTCCGCCGCTGCACGACGGGGCGAAGCTTCGTCGAACTTCGCGACATCGCATATACAATGAACACACCGAATACCGCGACAAGGCAACAGAGTCCTCTCCTGCTCGATTAATCGTCCGTACGACGCTCACCACCGACGTCCGGTTCCATCGTCGCGGCTTCGTAGGACGACGCCACTCCTCGCCGAGCAAATCACCATAATTTAACGAAAAACCGATGCCCACGTCCGTTATCGATTCAAAACAAACTCTCGCTTCTCTCTCAAAAAAACGTTACGACCCACGCATCATAACGACGCCTACAGGGACAACTACTCTCGTCGTTTCGCCACGGCATACGCCATAGTGTACACAGTAGCGCGACTCTCGATTTTGTCAAGTGCGAAATGGAGTTCACGCCTGCGCGAACGTAGAAATCCGTTCGGCTACGCCACGTCGTTTCTCTTTCTCTCTCTCTCTCTCTCTCTCTCTCTTCTCTCTTCTCTTCTCTCTCGTTTTCTATGTACGAAATTAATTTATAAAAACAAGAGAGAACCTGGTGTAGGTGACCAACAGACATCCATATATTTTGTTGCTTGTTGCATTTTATTTGCATATCTTGTTTGCAATTAAGTCATAAAATTTTGCTCCGATAATTACTACGCTACCAGAGAGAAAATGGAGAGCGGCCATTTAAAAAACCGTAATAGCTTTTCCGCTCTGTAAGCCAGAGCTCTGTGTCTGCGGGTGGTGCACATTGGCAACTACGTAGCCATGTCGATTTGTCGGTGCGATTCTCTGATCGAATCATTCGCTTGGCATGATGCTTTGGAAACAGCCTTAAAGAATTAGGAACTGCGTTCCTTTAATTTTGCAATTAAAACCAGCCTTGATTCGTCTTCTTTTTTGTGCAATTTAATCCATATTAGACGTGAAGACTGAAACACTACCGGTACCGGTTTCACGATCGTCAGTATTGTATTGGTTTGTATTACTGGAGTACCGTGAAGAACCGAGTTGATAACGAAACTACAACGTACCGTGACGAAGGGTCTGCAGTCGATTTTGCATTGCCATCAAAATCTCGAAATAAATTACACAGACATCTGTCTTGTGGTTGCACATTTTTGCTCAATACCAGCTAAATTTCATCATTCGGAGCTGAAGAGACAAAATCGACCATGGAGGAGAAATTGTTGCATATGCTCGAGGATGTTGGGTAAGCAGATAAAAGTTATATCGCAAAAATTGTAAGTCAATTTTGTTAATTTAATTTTTATGTCGTGACGATATACATGGTCTTTATTGAAATTTATCTTATTCTTACAATTTTAAAATTTCAAAAATCATATGTCACGGATTGTCAAAAAATTTGTGATTACAACAATATAGATATACAGGACCAATGCTAGAGGAAGAAAAGCTGAGAGAAGCTTTAAAACTTGGTGCAAAATCAACAGATTTTACTAGTCTTGTAGCTTGGTTTGCTGACCAACTGGCGACATTTATTGACATTGATGAGACTGTTCATGCTACAACCAGTGCAGATGATGCTAGTTCCTTTCTCTTAGAGTTAAGTTTCTTTCTTAAAGAATTAGGATGTATAAATGAGAAACTAATGACTGGACATGTAAATCAAAGACTAGCCAATGAGTCTGAAAGAGCTATTCTGATAGAATTCTTAGCAGCTGAACTTATGTCTTGTAAATTATTAGAGGTGAAATGTCCTAAAGAAGAAAAGCAATTGGAAGTAACTATTGTAAGTATTTTTTTTTTTTTTTTATTGCGATATCTTATGAAGTTTTGTATTATTATTGTAACAAGACATACACAATGATATCTGTTTTAAACTCTTTATTTTGTACACAGGATGAAAGTGACACAGCAAGGGACTTGAAAAATATGCTGGTGACATTGAAATTTCAAAAACCACCAGATAATATTTCACCTGAAATGTTGTTCTCAAAATTAGAATCTAAATTACAAGAAGTATTAAAGACTGTACCATCCGAGCATCTAGGTAAACCACTTATAGACGTTGAGCTTTCTGTTAACCAATGGAAGGAATTAGGTGAACTGCAGGAGGAACTGCACAAGGAATACACAATTCGTCGTGACACGTTGCTCAAGCGTCTTGATGTCACAGTTCAATCATTCCTGGTAGAATTTTTCACAGATATACATGTAACATTTATACACATACAACTATATACAAGAGTAAAATAACTTTATATTATTTTGCATATAGTGGTCGGACAGAATAAAACCGCAGGAAACTCAAGTTAACACTAAATACGAGGAGAGAAGAAAAATTTTGAATAAAGAACCGAAAGTAACAATGGCTGATTTGCTAGCGGCGAGAGACGATCTTGCGGTGATTGAGAAGACGAGTAGTGTTAATGTTCGCAAAAACACACGAAGCAAGATCAACAGCGTCATTATAGGAGCGGTGCCGGACAGAGGTGGTAGACCTTACGAGCAAGAACCACCTCCACCAGAGATGCCTCCATGGCAAAAGGATCGGGTCCAAGGGCCACAATCGTCCGGGTAAGTCACTAAACTGGCGTAACACCAATTATAGAAAATGTTAGTTATTGATAAACATGTGAGTAATAAAATATATATTTAATAATTTTAGGAGCAATCGAGGAGGTGGAAGAGGTGGTAATGTTAGAGGAGGTGGTGGTGGTGGTGGTAGGGGAGGTGGTAGTGGCGGTTATCGCGATCATAAAGACGCTACCAGTAATTTCGGTCAAAATATAGACTATCAGCAGCCCCAATATTCCGGACAAGGCCACAGAGATTGTTATCCGGATCACAGAGACTCGGGAGGATATCAAAGAGGCGGGGGTAGTAGTGGTGGTGGTGGTTATAAGGGAGATTCCGGCAGAAGTTACGGTCAAAATTACAATCAGAATCAAGGTCAAAGCTACGGACACAATCAGGGTCAAAGCTACGGGCAGAACCAAGGTTACGGACAGAAATATCAAAATCAGGGACAGAATTACGGTCAAAATTACAACTATCAACAGTCGCAATATTCCGGCCAAAGAGATTCTTACGGAGGTGGTGGAGGCGAAAGAAACACATCACACGATAATTATTATCAGGACAGGAGAGATGGCGGAGGAAAGGGGGGAAGAGGAGGAAGGGTTCAAGGTGGATGGAATCAGGGAGGCAATAATTCCAACACCAATAACTATCAGCGTGGCGGTTATAACCGAGGCAGAGGTCGACAATACTGAAGCTAGTTTGCATGTATTTTTAGTGATAAGTGAGACTTTTAACGCAGGAAGCTATACTGATATTAATGTAGCCATGGTGATAGTAATGTAATTACTATTCTTACGCTTATATTATTATACTCACATGTAACACAATTAAATGCAACTGTGGTCTCAAAATATTCGAGTCTGGTATATCTTTAAGGAAGAAAACGATCTTGAAATTACGTAATATTCCTAGATTTACAAAGTTAGTTAACTTTTTGCAAAAGTTCTAACGTTGAGCACCACTCCAATAAGATAGTAAAATTGTTATTTATTGTGCTCTCTCGCGAGCACGTTTTGTAATGCCAAGCTTTTGCTTTTTGTCTTTTAATTGAAACACAAATTTGTATCGCGTACATACAATGTAGGTATACAATGCAATTCTGCGTTTTCAATAGCAGGTTGCAGATTGAACAAAGATACAAATTTACATGTAAATATATAACTTGTTCAACCAAAAGCGATCAAAATTTAATATATATAAAGCGAGATGTGAAGACTGTAAATCTCAAGTTACGAAAAATTTATACTAGATTGTGTGCATTACATGTATGTAAACATCTCATGAATGTGTAACATAATAATTCTACGCATAATATATATAAACTCGCACGATTATTATATTCCCATCATGAAAACCAGAGATGATAATAAAGACGCTTGTAATAGAAACTTTTGTGTGCTCCTTTGTTTTTTTTTGTTAAGAGCTCATAATAAAAACATAAGCAAACCTATCGAGACGCCATCTGGTTTGCCGCAATCGACAGGATTTTTTTATTAGCTGTCTGCTGCGAATTTGACGTGTTAGGTTTTGACGTACGAGCCAAACAAAATGCCGCCGTGCGGTTCGATGAGCTCTCGCGAAACTTTCGTCCGTTGCTGTTTCGCGAGGCTTGAAGTGCCGAGTTCGGCGATCATATCGACCATGTTCATCTGACTTCCACGAGCTGCGAGCCTTGTCAAGCTTTCATATGTGCGTAGCAACGTTGTACGTTGCGAGCGGCGCAACGTCGAGGAGGCGAATCCGATATTAACGGAGTTGTGATGTCCTCACGGCTTGAGAATAAATTTGATACCCTCGGAATACTCAATAATTGATCGGGAATTTCAACGCGAACAGTTTTTAGAAGAGATTTCTCAATTAATCACGGTCCAGTACGTTGCATGTGTGTATGTATACATACACGCTCCGATATTGTGTTTTATCTCACTGTACAATGCGTGATAATGACTCAAGTTTGTTTTTTTTTTTTTTCATAGTCAATGCATCACCGTTATCATATCCAACGATCAACAGGAATTAAAGAAGAGGTGTTGCAGAAGAAAAACAGATGGTGGATTGTTAATGTCATGAGTCATCTTAAACTGTTTTACACAGAATTAAACGTTTAAAAGTTCTGATTGTCACATGTGACTGATTCGTGTTTGCAAGCAAGATTGAAAATTGTTGACTCTTTTGAAAATGTCTGGCGGAGAGAGAAAGAAGCGTGGGTGCGACAGGGGACACGGATGGGAAGAGGCTGGCGCAGAATTCTATCAAGAAAGTTATCCGGCAGCTATAGAAGCGGATTTGCAACAAGCCTTGCAAAGGGATCCTTCGCACATAGCTACTTTGCTTCCTAGCAAAAAGTCTCGTGTTGGTGAGTTTTTTTTTTTTTTGTTTTTTTATTCCAAGAATTGGTTACACAAGCACAATGCGATTACCAAATAAAGATTTTGTTTTTCTGTGTTTATTTGACAGCCACTGCGAAACGAATCCGAAATGATCCAAAGACAACACTGAGAAGGCGCACCAGCACCAGATCTCGCGGCACAACGACTTCAAGGCGTATGTCAACCAACATACACGATGCGGCGGTATCAATGCTACCAGACCTGTCGGAAAATCTGTCCAATGAGGAACGCACTTGGGAGGAAATCATGCAGATCAAAGCTATGCCTGTCTGCATGTCTCAGAAAATACAGCTGAAGAATCAGTTACAGGTATTTTGAGCAATTTATCTACTTGCAGATATAGACTTAGTATAGATTACAACTCTTGTGTAATAAATTTGTTTAGAGTGCTACAAAACTGAGACTTCAGGGATTTGAGCAGCTGAAATGGCAACGCAGAAAAGCCTGGCAGCAATTTCGCATACGGATGAAAGAGGCTTACTCCAAGATGGAGCTGTGGAATAACAGTCTGAAGAAAATAGGCGGAAACTTCGGAATGGGCATAGTGGCGTACTTTTTGTTTATCAAATGGCTGATGTATCTAAATCTATTTCTGTTCGCAAGTATATATTTGCTGATAGTGCTGCCGGCGATCTTGCTGGAGACGTCGGAAAACGAATTATGTACATCCAACAACACCGCGAGCGTAGCATGTTGTTCCGAACTATATAGAAACATGACCGATGAGAGTAGCAGCATAACCGATATCGTGCAAGGCGGCGGTATTTTGGAATACACCCCGCTGTTCTACGGCTGGTACACGCACAACATATACGAGAGCGTGTGCGGAACCTTCGGCTACAATTTCCCGCTTGCTTATATCTGCGCCATTACTGTTGTCTTTGTCATCAGTCTGGTGGCGATCGTTCGGCGAGCCGCCAGAGGTTTTATGGAGCGTGTCGTGGAGGGCGAGGGCCAGTTCTATCGGTACTGCAATTTGGTGTTCGGCGGCTGGGATTACTGCATTCACAACGAAAAGTCCGCGGCCGTAAAGCACAAGGCGCTGTACAATGAGATAAAGGCATTTCTGGAAACGGAGAGAATGGAGGAGGAACGACAAAATCGTACGCGCGAGGAAAAAACGAAGTTGTTCTTCATACGTCTGTTTGTGCATGTGTTGGTCCTAACGGTGCTCGGTGGTTGCGGCGCGTTTATCTATTACATAATCGACTTCTCGTTCGACCAGCTGGCGTACTTGGCGCAAGATCCAGATGCATCCAAGATCACGCAGTTGTTTCTCGAATTCCTGCCGTACGTATGCATCGTCGGGCTCAACGTGGCGGTACCGTTCCTCTTTCGTTATTTGGTCGCTTTGGAGAATTACAGTCCGTCGTACGTCATCCGAATGACGTTGTTCAGAACGGTGTTTCTCAGACTCGCTTCTCTCGGCGTTCTGCTAACGTCCATGTACAGACTCGTCGCGGACAAGATTCCGGAGAACGAGTGCTCCAACATCAACAACAAACAGCCATTGTGCTGGGAAACGTTTGTGGGACAGCAGTTCTTCAAGCTGTACACCACCGATCTCTTCATTCAGGTTTTCATGACCTTCTTCGTCAACTTTCCCCGCTCGTTGATTGCCCGGCACACCGAGAACAAGGTTCTGCGTTTCATCGGCGAGCAGGAGTTCGATCTTCCCAAGCACGTGCTCGATATCGTCTACTCGCAGACACTCTGCTGGCTCGGTTGCCTGTTCGCCCCGCTTTTACCGTTGGTCGCCGTCATCGGCACGTTCTTCCTGTTCTACGTGAAGAAATTCACCTGTCTGGTAAATAGCACACCGTCCAGCAAGATATACCGGGCGAGCAGGTTGAATTCTCTATTCATGTTCATTCTGCTGGTCGCTTTCATCCTGGCGACAATACTGATCGGCTACTCGATCGAGCAGATCATGCCGTCGAAGTCGTGCGGACCGTTCCGCGGCTTTGAGTCCGTGTGGTCGTTACTGATCATAACGTTCTCGCAATTTCCCAACTGGTTACAATCGACTCTATATTTTCTGAGCACCGCCGGTTTTGGCATACCGGCGTTCGTCATTCTCGCTCTGCTTCTTTATTATTATTACGCGGTAACGATCGCAAACAAGCATATGGTGACGGTACTGAAGAACCAGTTGGTACTGGAAGGCCATGACAAGCAGTTTCTTTTGAACAGGCTCAGCGCCTTTATCAAGCAGCAACAGGATCAGAACAAATTCCATCAGGAGCAGAACAATGAATTAGGCACGTTTCAGCACGTATAAAACAGCATAAAACGCTTGATTTGATATTGTTTTTTTTGTTTTTTTTTTATTTTTTTTTTTTTACAAACGTACAAATTTAGTGAAGCTGCGTAATGCGGATCGACGAATGTACACGACGGTCCGAAGCGCGATTAGTTAACAGTTTGCTTGAGATTTTGTACATTTCTCTCATGACTCACACAAGACTGTCGATGTTTTTTATATTATACACGAGTGGCATTTGTAACGGTTTTTTTTTTTATATATTCCACTTTTTGAATTCTATATAAAAAAAAAAAAAACCTATATACAACGGCGGCGCTGACAATACCAAACATACGTATTCCACTTGCTGCCTATTGCAGTATCTTGTACTTTATACAATATTTTGAAACTCAGATATACGTTCGATACTAGCCACTGCCAAAAAAAAAAAAAAAAGAAATGACGCTAGGTATCTTTTGTTTTCTTGCATTCGCGAACAGGACATATCTCTCTCTCTCTAAAAAAAAAAAAAAAAAAGAATTCATTGTCGTCTCATGTATACATGGAAATATACATCTAAAATCAGGGTACAAAAGAAAAAACAAGATGTTGCAACAAATATTTACACGATAGTAGAAGAAATTGCGAATTATTTACTTATCGAATTACGTTTAATTTCACAGATATCTTTGAACAATCGTATATCTAAAAGAGTACACGCCTAATTAACGAAGAATGTGTCTATGTGTGTGTGTCTGTGTGCGTGTGAGTGTGTATGTGTCTGACACGGAGAACATGAAATCTTCGTCAGAACAATTATACGATAAGCTAATGTGATCATACGTACATATATTTAGCTTAAAGAGATTAAATCGTTAAGACAGGTTTGTTTGAACGAACAACTTGGTTCAGTCTTGTTCGAGGTTTTGGTCTCGATTTAAGGCCCATCAAGCAACAAGTTCCCACAGTTCGTTTTTACATACATATACATATAAGATTAGCTTAAACACCATAAACACAACAATAACAAGACTACAGCCTTTTGTAAAGGCGAGCATTTACTTCCTTAAACTAAAACTTAACGAGTAAACGTTAGAGAGCTTTTGCATGTGAATGAAACGAAGTGATAAGCAGCGGACCTATCTTTAGATTAGTTCCTTAGAAACTTTGTAAAATGTTACTGTAAATAGGTCCTTTAGAATCTAAGTTATATATGTTCTATTAACGATATATATATATATAGCATCGGGAAAAGTATTATATGTATATCACAAAAAGATTTTATTGTTTTGTTGTTCGAGCAATTTTGATAATTTAGAATGTAAGGGACGAACGAAAAACGCGAGTTTTCGTGATATTTACACGATTTTCTTTCGATTAGTTCTACAAATCTTGTACCTCAGTATTTTTACTACTACGAAGCCAAAGAAAATTCATTCAAGTCAAAGATCGCAAATACTTATAATTCTTTTTTCTTAAAGTTAACGAAAATATATATATATATATACATATACTTCGTTTAGAATAAAAACGAACGCGCACATCGCCTCTCATCTATGCCAATCCGCGTAATTCACAGAAGATTTCGCTCCACTTTTTCATACTCGGGGAAACAGATGTGAACATCGCGCATACGAATGTTCGATGCGTGCTGTTTGCACGCCGATTGAATTCCTTGGCCTAATAATAATATTCAATATACACCGCGTACTCTCTCTCTCTCTCGAAAAAAAAAAATTGTATTTTGTAAATTTACAGATGTGTAATTATAAAAGAATTAGCACGTACGTTAATCTCAGATACTGTGTGTGTACATTCTATAGTAATTCACACTGGATGATACCGTCATTGTGAACTTTTTATCACTGGCACTAAATATATTAATATATTAATAGGAAATTAAATATGAAACTATAATCTTATATAAAACAGATTTATGCCTCTGAAAATGATCTATTCGGGATTGCATTTACACGTATTAATCGTATTGCATTTGAGATAAAACAATAATAAAGAAGTCGAAACACAGATGTCAAGATAGAAAACACTTTCTTTCAACATGTTGCTGCTAATTAGAACAGACTGTATCACAACACCATAATTGCTATAATCTCTCTTTACACAAACTTTACATACACGGTAATAGATTCTAACGCATATACGCTCATTATTTGTGACATAACCATCCAATCATTATGATGTAAAAATAAATCTGTTATATGTAAAATATCTTCAATTATTTCCCTCTTCTCCGGTAAAATTATGTGTAACAAAAATAGTTTTTTTCAACACGTGATCTCCTTCGAATTTACATCTATGTTTCTGACGAGTGCAACTGGAAAAGATTTGAAAATTAGCACAGTGCTGAGAATGCATGTGTCAGAATTGTTTGTAAAACAATCTGCTCACCGCTTCGGCTATGTCAATCCAATCTAAAGCCGCCGCGACGGCGTCGTTCTTAGATGGTATTCTGTCGTAATTCCAGTATGTGAATTGTGAAAAGGTGCCTGTAGAATACAAATTTCGGTTGTTATTTTCCGTATCCGCTTTTTTATTCTCGATAAACATCACACCCTTATAGCCGGCAGGTACTTTGATCTTCTTCCCTTGAAGTGGATAACCGCGGAAAGAACAATCAGAATCTGTGCGTAAAATTAAATAATTAACAAGTATATTACAATTGTGCAAAGTGTATCTCTTATTTTTGTTTATTTTTTTCATCATGTTTATTTTGCAATAACCTCCTTGGGTCAAATGTTATCGAAGAAGAGCAATGGAACAAAAAGCCGAAAGTATAAATAACAAATTTACTTTTACTGCGTATATTTTCGTGACATTTGCGGCATTTTCTGTAAAACAAAAATAATGGCAAAGTGTGTGTTTGAAAAATGTTTTTAACCGCTCACGTTCTTCGTCCACCTTGTGAATGTAAGGTTTGAAGAAGGAGGAAACCTTTACGGGTTCGTCACCGTGAATTTTGCATGGCATAAGATGCAGCTCGGACTCCTCTTGATTGTTTAAATTTTTATTCACGTGCAAACGTAAGCGCATGTTTACTCGAAATAACGACGCAAAATCGTGTGTGTGACTTTTCGCGGGAAGCTGACAAATTCGACGTCGATTCTAACCTCTGTGCTGTTCAAATTAACCAATAGCAGCTCATTCCGTATATTACTGCACTTTTTATAAAATATACAAAAAAACGAACTTATTTATTATTATTGTTTTGCTTCAGATTTTCCCGTCGCGCTTCGATTTTTGACACACAGTAGATCTTTTATCTGGAAATAAATAATTGATCGTTTTTTTTTTTGTATTTATGCGCAAATCTCATATTTTTTTCAGTCACGAAACAATTTGAAATTGTTTCGTCGAGGCTTCTGGCGAAACTTCCAGCCAAACTCTTATTTTTAAACGCAGAAAAATAATTTTTTTATCAATTACATTGTTACACGCACGCGATCTTCTCGTTGCATTTCCATCTTGTTTTCCGTGCTTCGATTTTGCCGCGTTTTGCCGGACGCGTCGATTTCGATTGGTCGAAACGAGGGAGGTCTGAAGTTCACCCTCGAAGTCGAGTGGTGCGAAAGAACGACATCGTACGCGAACGCGCCAGGGCGTCGCGTCAGTCGCATTCAGTCGATCGTACAGTTGCGATCGTTGTGTTCCGGCTTGCGTCTTCTCTCGGTTCTCCGCTTCTCTCCTCCGCTCGCGCCAAACAGGAAAGTGAGCAAAAATCCAACGCGCGTGAAAAGCGAACACACAGCGCCGATTTCGTTTGCGGAGAGCAAAACTGAACACCCCGTCTAGGAATAAAAGCATCGCGATAGTCGCCGGCGCGTGAAACGCAACACACAAGTCTGCAAGATGAGCACTCCGGTGAAGAAGGTGCCCATTCATCTGCAGGTGAGTGATACAGTTCGGCGGCGTCCGGCACCTGTAAACTTTTCGCAGAGAGACCGGTTTTTTTTTTCTCGCGGCGGAAAAAAACAACGGCGTTATTTTTATCCGCGTTGCGTGACGCTCGCGCGAAGCTCTGCTCTTAGACGAAGAGAACGAGGGATACGATAGATCGCAATGATAAATTGTGAGAGAACATTTGAGGATGAGTTTCTGAAGAGAGTTTCCAACGAATTGTCGTTGTCGATGTCGATTCTTTGCGTTTTAATACCGGCACGTATCGCGACGCGCGAGAATCGTCAATGGCGCCAAATCTCAGAACAGGTTCCATTTAAAACGTAACGCGCGTAAATTTTAGAGTAATTTTTTTTCTAATAAAAACACTATAATGAAAATTTGTATGTTAAAAATTTCGTGTATTTGTAAAATGATCACGCGAGATAACAAAAATCGAGTTCTTCGTGAATTTTCCAGCGCTCCGCGAAAGAGATAAGATAAGATCATGAAAAATTCAAGTTCCACCCTTTTTTTTTTCTAATTCGAGATCGAATTCGTCATTGCCGATCACGTAACGAATATTAAACGACACACGCAAATAACAACACATTGATCCTCATTTGAAACAATTTTTGCAGCACAGTTTTTGTCCCGAACAAAACTCGACAAAAAATCAAAACAATTTTTTAGATCGCGAGCTCGCGTTCTTTTGTTTCATGTGTGCGAACACATGCGAACGATTTTGTTATGACGGTGATATTTCTGAGTTCGAGTTTTTCTCACCGTGAGAATTCAAGCTGAATATTATATGTTAGCTGAATATAATATCATCGGGGTCGAAGGATTTCTTCGAGCAACTTGGGGATTGAAGGACTTGTTGCGTTATAACATTGTTTGACGCTAAGTCTGCGATTAACTCGATTCTTGTTTGGCTTTTCTCAAGTAGCTCCGCAGAGTTCACTTCACCAACTTCTTTGCATACTTCACTAAATGTAGAAGCGAGCCTCGTTCGTCTCTCCAAATTTTATTGTTCTCGTAAGCAGGTGGCGAAAATTCGGTATTTCATTATTTTCAGAATAATTACTTTAAAGAGAGACAGAGTCTCTATTAGCAAACTAAGAAATTTACTTTTTTTATATACAAATATATTTTAATTTAAATTGAATTTTAATTTTATACGTATATGAATTAATATATATATATATATATATGTATCTTAATTATATTAATTATATAAATCTTAATTATATAAATATAAAATTAAGAATAGAGAATATTTGCGCGATTTTTTTCTAGCAGCCGACGTTGACGTAAAAGAGAGATCTTCGTTATTTGTCTTGCCAACATAATTAATTGGCATATGGAATAAACAACTATATCGCGTGTGATAAGAAGCACTATCGCGTCCTTTGCTCCCTACGCGGAGGACTTGTTGCAGCCGCCGGTCGGTCGATAAGTAGGCGCTGCTGAAACTCGAAGCGTGTAATATCACTGCTTATATGCAGCAATCTGCAGCGATAAAACCGTTGATAAGAGAGAAGCAGATACATATATATATATTTATAGTTTCGCACTTTTAGCCAATATACCGGTTGATAGCCGATACATATCTCCCACCAACGAAACGATTTTAATCGTCTCCACGGGGAGAGACGATTTGCAATTTCTCATTGCATGAGAGACTTTTGCGCAAAGCCGTTTATCTTATTGAGGCTATCGCTCGCATACAAAATGAGATAATCGCGCGTTTAATCAAAATCGCGTCTATTTAAAATACTCTAGATAAAAATAATCCTCTCATTTTTTCGAGTTATCGCGCATCATCGAATGAGATATCGCCTTCGATTTTTCGATGTCAACGGCACGATTTATTTTCTGCTCGCATATCGCACCTCTTCGATCGACAGATAATTTTTTACGACTTGTTTTATTGCGTGTAATACATTTATAGAAAGTTTTCGAAGATACGGTATCAGCGTTTTTGTTTTGCGAGACAAAACGAGCCGCTTCGCCGAATTTCAAAGTAAACGAAATTATTTGTTACACATAATATCTAAAGAGAAGTTTCGCAATTGTAATCAAGTCTCGATATCGGACTTATATATTGCAAAGTCTCGTAAACACCCTCCGAAGCGCTCGGTAATTATCGCGCTCGTTCAATCGAGACCAAAGAGTCGCAATCAATTCTTCAATCCGGTTCGAGAAACTCGAATCGGACACGACTGTGTAAATATCTTCGGGGTTTCGGAACAAAAGTATACTTGAAATGTATTCATGATTACGAAAATAATTGAAGAACGCACTCTTGGCACATCTCGCTTTTCGCTTTCCAGTCTCTGTGTCGTTAATGACGCGATTGATTTCTGAATTCCTTCGTAAATATATTACCAGTAAGATTTGACGCGAGGTGGATATATATTACGTTACGGTCAACGTAACACCCACGTGAAGTTGGCCCCCCAACATTAAAAAAAAAAAACTTTTTTTATGTCAATCGTTTGCACATTGTTTGCACAGTTTGGCACACTTCGATTTTTCGTTTGCACACCGCTCAATCAAAAGTTATATTTAAAAAAAGTTTCGGGGGGCCAATTTCACGATAGCCCCCCAACTTTGTCCAAATTTGTTTTGAAACTTCTTAATGGATAGATTTTCGTTTGCACATTACAAAAATACCTGATATTTTGTTTGCACACNTCTACTTTCAAACTTATGGGCAAATTTATAAATAAACGTCGTCTATAGCAATATACCTAAAACTTGGTAAAATCTATTTTAAAAATTGATTAATCGATATAATTTTGTTTGCACATTTCAAAAACAATCGATATTTCGTTTGCACATCAACCGTTTACCACTTAGAAGCAATAACAAACGTGACGGGGGGCTAACTTCACATTTTGAATGATGTGCTTCAAAATCTATGGAATTCAGATTCAAACCTGTGTAATCGATAGCATTTTGTTTGCACATTTCGAAAACATTTGATATTTTGTTTGCACATCAACCGTTTACCACTTAGAAGGAATACCAGTCGTATCAAAAAACCAAACTCTCATTATGACTAAAGATTCTCCAAAATCTATGAAAATCAGCTTAAATCCTGTGTAATCGATAGCATTTTGTTTGCACATGTCGAAAACAATTGATATTTTGGTTGCACATCAACCGTTTACCACTTAGAAGCAATAACACTCGTGTCGTAATACCAAAATCTCGTTTTGATTAAAAATGCTCCACAATCTATAGAATGTATGGTGAAATTTGAGTAATCGATAGAATTGCGTTTGCACAGTGCAAAAAAGTTGTTAGTTTGTTTGCACATCAGTTGTTTCAAGCTTATAAACAATAAAAATTGTGTCGGGCAGCGAACTTCACGGTTTGATTATAGTTGAATTATAGATAAATTGATTATAGATAGATAAATTATAGATAAATTGATTATAGATAAATTCCATAGATTTTGAAGCACATTAGTCAAAATGTGAAGCTGGCCCCCCGTCATGATATTTATTGCTTCTAAGTGGTAAACGGTTGATGTGCAAACGAAATATCGACTATTTTCGAAATGTGCAAACAAAATGCTATCGATTACATAGGTTTGAAGCTAATTTTCATACATTTTGGAGCATCTTTAGTCACAATGAGAATTTGGGTTTTCGATACGACTGTTATATTGCTTCTACGTGGTAAGCGGTTGATGTGCAAACGAAATATCAACTATTTTCGAAATGTGCAAACAAAATGCTATCGATTACACAGGTTTGAATCTGAATTCCATAGATTTTGAAGCACATCATTCAAAATGTGAAGTTAGCCCCCCGTCACGTTTGTTATTGCTTCTAAGTGGTAAACGGTTGATGTGCAAACGAAATATCGATTGTTTTTGAAATGTGCAAACAAAATGCTATCGATTACACAGGTTTCAACCTAAATTCCATAGATTTTGAAGCACATTAGTCAAAATGTGAAGCTGGCCCCCCGTCATGATATTTATTGCTTCTAAATGGTAAACAATTGATGTGCAAACAAAATATCGATTATTTTCGAACTGTGCAAACCAAATTCTATCGATTACACAGGTTTTAAGCTAATTTCCACAAATTTTAGAGCATCTTTAGTCATATAGAAAGTTTGGTTGTTTGATACGACTGGTATATTGCTTCTAAGTGGTAAACGGTTGATGTGCAAACAAAATATCAAATGTTTTCGAAATGTGCAAACAAAATGCTATCGATTACACAGGTTTCAACCTAAATTCCATAGATTTTGAAGCACATTAGTCAAAATGTGAAGCTGGCCCCCCGTCATGATATTTATTGCTTCTAAGTGGTAAACGGTTGATGTGCAAACGAAATATCGATTGTTTTTGAAATGTGCAAACAAAATTATATCGATTAATCAATTTTTAAAATTTTTAAAAGATTTTACCAAGTTTTAGGTATATTGCTATAGACGACGTTTATTTATAAATTTGCCCATAAGTTTGAAAGTAGAGGTGTGCAAACAAAATATCAGGTATTTTTGTAATGTGCAAACGAAAATCTATCCATTAAGAGGTTTCAAAACAAATTTGGACAAAGTTGGGGGGCTATCGTGAAATTGGCCCCCCGAAACTTTTTTTAAATATAACTTTTGATTGAGCGGTGTGCAAACGAAAAATCGAAGTGTGCCAAACTGTGCAAACAATGTGCAAACGATTGACATAAAAAAAGTTTTTTTTTTTTAATGTTGGGGGGCCAACTTCACGTGGGTCAACGTAACTCTCTCGATGTGATCGATACGGGAGGATAAGAATCGCGACGTTTAAGTAATGCTTACATCGCGGTATATTGTGTATTAGAAGGTTTTTGTCGCATGTAAAGTCGCATTGTCGCGAGGCACCGATTTAGAAAATGTAGGTCGACAATCGCGGATGCCTTACACACTGTGCACGTCTCTACGTTGCACCGACGTCAATAATAGGAAAATAATAAAAAAATAAAAAGAAATACATTAAGTGTGTATCG